TTTTTTTTTTTTTTTTTTTTTTTGGTGTGTCTGTGTTGTCGTATTCGCTATACACTCAAAAAAGCATGACTGTACCAGACTGTTTCGTCGGACTTTCACCGACTCGTCAGAAGGTTGAACCCCGACAGTCTGCCCAGCATGCATTTGACTGATCATGGATAAGGACTCACCACATCGCCCAGAGTTGGCGATACCCATCCCTGAGAGAGAAAAGTGGTCCCCACTTTACTCACACCAACCAAGGCTTGCAATCCTAGCAGACTGCCAGTCCAAACCCCTGTCAGTGACAACAACGGTAGTAAATCTGAGAAACTGTGTGTGTGTGTGTGTGTGTGTGTGTGTGTGTGTGTGTGTGTGTGTGTGTGTGTGTTTGTGTCGTACCACACGATGGGATCCCCGTTGCCTGAGATATTTGTCTGCGCCACACCATTCGATGCAGCAACTGCGACTGCAAGAATTGGATGTGGCGCCTCGCCAGTCCGCACCCAAACCGGTCCTGTCCGGCCTGCAGCGGTGGCCACTTACCATAGGCAACAGGTGCTCCTCAACTCATTTTTCTCTGCAGCCCAACCCAAGCCCTGACTGGCCTCTTGTGCCAGTCCCTACCAGTCTGCTCGGTCAACGAGTACTAAGCACACTATGAGGTTCTTCCTTCCCCCGCTCTTCTCCTCCCTCCACTCTCCTCCTCCCCTCTTCTCCCCTCCCCTTCTCCCTCTTCCCTCCGCCCCCCATGCAGAACTCCGAAATGCACACGGGTGAGCATCACTAAGACAACAGACAAAACATCAGCTGCAACAAGTGTACTGAAAAGCAAATGGCTGTGTACAGTGTGTAGTAGCGTGTACGTATTCCACACTCTCAAGTACGCAGACATGGTGTCAAGCCTGTCGACCTTGCACGTCTCAGAAAATGCAACAGTGAAATGGCTGTTTAATTTTTAAATCAGTTTTGAAACTTTTGATTATAAAAAATAATGAAATATCACAAATTTCAACAAATTTCGACACGTTACAATCATCTCAAATGTCACATATAACTTGATAAGGAGATTATGAGGAAAGGGTGTTTGAACTTTGAATTTTGAGTCTACTCATCCAGCTAAAAGGGCCTTTACCCGATATAGGCCTCAGGCCTTGTAAAAATAAAGCAGCATGGGCCTTGAAAAAGTAAAGCATTGTGAAAAGGTATCTCGTCAGAGCTCAGAAACGTGAAAGCAGGTCAAAGGTCAAGTTCTCTATCAACAGGCATATTTAAAACTAAGGCAAAGGGCATTGTCAAAAGACTTACCTGTTCACCAGGAGATGTGTATGTCATGTCTATTTGGGTAAGGGTGTGTCTGTACGTGCAGGCAGTGTGTCTGTTCGTGCCAAGTAAAGTGTCTATTCAAGCAGTAAATGTGTCTGTTCGTTGAGAGTTGTGCCTGTCCGAAAGTAAAGTCAATAGGCACAGTCCCAGTTCTGGTCTAAGTCCAGGGGTCAGTCCAGATCCAGACTTTCAAGTCCAAATTCAGGCCGGGAGGCCTCAGCAGCAGTTGAACTTCGTTTGGGACTCTACTGGGACACATGCAATGCAGGGTCTGGG